TCCTCGGCGCTGTGGTCGCCGATGCCGAGATCCGCGCTCCGGAGGGCCTCAACAGCAAGGCGAGAAGGGATGCGGCGCGCGCTGCTGAAACCATGCGCTCTTCTTCCCCATGGCTTCAGCCTCCACCAGATTGCAGAGTGAGCGCCGCCGCCGCCGCCGCTGCGAGCGATAGCGCGAGCCTCGGCTTCGAGAGGGGAGGGCAGAAACGGAAGGCGGCTGTAGTGTGTGTGTGGGCCTTTGGGCTTTGTTGGCCTCGGACCTCGGGTCCGCTGAGCTGGGCAGCAACTTTTTTCTCGAAGGGATTGAAGTCGGCAGCTTCGGCGCGACACGTTGGTAGCATGCGCGGTTCACGCACCACACGTGGCGACGCCACGAGTAACGGTTGGGACACCCGGCGGCCGTCGCGGGGAAGCCTGATTCTGGCGTCTGCGTCTCCGTAAAGGTTTTCTAGATTTGGTTACTAATAATTATTTTTAAAGGTTCCGATTTATCTCTTAGGAAATAAGAAAAAATAAAAATAATCTAATAATAAAATGAGACACTTTCTGGACATTATTTTTAGTTTATCAGATTCAAACAGGCTCTAAGAGTTTTTTTTTTGTAAATCCTCTACTTTATAGGTGAATTTTAATATATATTTAAGCATTGAAGAAAAAAAGTCTACCTATTTACTTGGTCTCCTAGATTTGTTGACTGCCCAAAATCTTATCCTCAAATTTTAAAATTAAAATCTATGAAAATGTGTTATAATAATAATATGTTAAGTCTATATTAGTTTAAAATTTGTTTCTGTTTAACTGTGGATGTAAAATGAACATCATTGAGGGTCAACATGCTGAATTTTGTGAGAAAATAGAATAAAAACTATGTAAGGAGCCTATTTTAGGTAGTCATGTTGGAGATGCTCTAAGTACATTAAAAGCTAAAAACAATCTCTTCAACTAGCACCAACGAAACTAATGTTCTGTTGTGGTTTCACGTTTTAACAAAAAAAAGTGTGACATATAGATAGATAAGTTATGAGTTGGCCCCGTTCGGCTTGCTGAATTATGGCTGAAACTAGCTGAAAACACTGTTCTTGCTGAATTCTTATGAGAGAAAAACATTGTTCCGGCTGAAAAAACAAACTGAATAGTGCCGTTTTCTGGGTATCACTTTATACTTTTTCCAATCTATATTATAGCTAGGACCACAAGTCCATGCCATTGTCTTCATCTCTGCACTACCACCTATGAAGTTTTATCCTTTCACTTTCAAATCTTCTACCAAATCCAAATAAAACTAGCAACTTGGTACTCTAAATCAACTGCCACGCCCTTTAGTCAGTCTTAAAATTCACCTCCTTTGCTTTCTTTGTGGCCAAAATTGGAGAAACTCGCCTTGATTTTCTCCTTTTGCACTCGCCCATGGTTGGAGCTCAGTCCCCTTTCATCCACACGGACCGCACCATGATGCTCAATTTATGCTTCATGGCCACTGTCTTATTCTTGTTGCATGCTTGGCGAGCTGTGCTCCAAAGAGCATGGTCATTCTAGAGTTCCTCTTGCCCCAACGCGTGCTCCAAATACTCCCTCTACTTTTTGTCAGACGAAGCAGCTACCACTACTTTTGTGGGTCTCTCTGATACCCTATGAGGCTACCATTTGGTGTGACGTGGAAGCTTGATGCAGACATGGAGGCTGGGATAGCAACACACCATGTCGCGTTGGGGTGGTATCAACATGTTTTCATCTTTAAGTTCATTTCATTAAAACCTAGTTGTTTAGCTTTTCAAAAATCAGCTCAACAGTTGGGTTGTTTACTTGTTTGTTTCAGTTTCTGATTGGTAGAAGCCAACAAAAAACTGAATCAAACATGCCCGCTCCATCATCTGTGTTGAGTATTCTTTTCAAAACTTGTGATGACGAAAAAGTCCAGAAACATAAGGCTAAACATATTTGGACCCAATATATACTCGCAAAGTCTGTGCATTGCAATAAAATGAACACCTTGTTGCACTATTATTTAAATGATTTGTGGCTCGAGATTTATGTATTAGAATCAAACTTCGTGCCATTGTTGTATGCACAAACACGCAGGGTTCTAACTTTTTTTTAAGCCCGCAGGGTTCTAACTCATATGAGCAACATTGATTGTGAATCCGGGGCAAATATATAATAACATCTACACCATCAAATTTGTTTCATTAAATTTTCTATGAAACATATTTGGATGTGCATTTCTTGAAACTTGTAGATGTTATCATATTGAAACTTGGTCAAAACTAGATAGCTTTATCTTCGGACAAAATCAGTGAACTACCCTCGATCTTGAAATATAAGGGATATAGAGTTTAAAATTTGTACCAAAATACAATGCATTGTGTACTCAACTCCCTCTCTCCTCAGTTTTTTGACACAAAATACTGAAAGAAAGTAACAACTGAACTAGCCCATCCATCCAATTAGTGAGGGGTAAGGTGGCTTTTTGTCATGATTCTTATTTTGTCTAAAAAAACTTTTATATATTTCTGGACATATATTGAGTATAATTTGAACGAAATGAGTAGTTACTATACTGTCATATAACAGTGGAGCGTGGGCTAGTAGCAATAGAGAGCAAAATCGATTGTTTCAACGTCAAAACCATAGCATGAGGGAGCCCAGAAGCTTGGCCCAAAAGCAAGAGGTCTATGGGCCTTTAAATTTCTATCAAACTGAGGGAGGCCCAGTTTCACCTCCATTACCCTCCATCCTTGCTTTTTTTTTTATCTCAACCTGGCCCTCATGGCCTTTCATTGATAGACGTAAACTTGACGATATCGCGAGTTACAAGACTGTTTACAACTGGCATAAATAATAATTTAAGTTTGCACCAACACTCGAGATTTTGAATTTACTCGCTATATTGAAGAATTATTTATGAAGAACTATAGTTTTGTAAAAACATAGAGCTGAAAAATAAATCATTTGGTATTGATATGTCATATATGCTAATAATGTTACATCAACAAAATATTAATATAATTCAAAAATAAATTGCAAGTGTCATTATACCTGGTTTAATAATGTTACCTTTTTTTATGATTGATAAATAAACTATTAAAATGACTTGTTACCGGCTCTACAACACATCGCAACCGAGTCATAATAAGGCATTTAAAAAACTGAGTAAAGCAAGGATCACTGTTACAGGATTCTTAAATTCTCTTACCTTGAGCCTGTTTCTATCAATAAGAACCAAAAATAATACGAAATATGCCACTATTCTAATTAGTAATCATGCCCAAACTTTCGCCGCCATCAGATAAAAGAAGATGTGCTTAGTCAGCAACGCCTGGCGTTGCATTCGAGCATGACATGTTTACACAAGGGGCAGAATAATGCATAAGCTACAAACATTGGTTCAGATGCATTTTCCATTCGCGGATGCAGAGTTTTGCACTGCCTGGATCATCTGACCGACCTGAACACACGGCCTCCAACCACGAACAGTTTTGAGCAAGAACGCATCTACCAGCTTCGCTACAACAGGCATGCTCCAAGAAGGTAGTTCAAGCTCTTGCACCATCTCTGTAGCCACCGAAAGACTTGTATCATTCTCCAGGTCAAATGCGAACTCGATGTTCTTACATTTACCTGTACAAGGCCAGAAGAATAAAACGCAGCGTCAGTGGCATGGTACAAATGGAGATTTGTACAATCCAAAGATGCTATTTTGATGCATGTAATTACCATTGGGGACAGGAATCCTTAGTAATAACTTGACAGGGTTGCTACCACTCATATCTCCTTCCAATACAAATCCACCCCTTCGAAGCACTAGGCTGAAAGACCCCTTCCCGCTATCAACAGTTCCATTTGGTAGCAAAGATACAAAAATTGGTGTGGCTTCAAGATCCAGATCCAAATTTGGCGGGAATGCTATTGGTTCTTGCACAGGATTAGAGGTTTTATTATCATTGATGATGATGTCATCTTTCATGAGAAAAGGGCTCTTCAAGAGATCACTTGCTGGCAATCTATCATCTGCTGAAGCTAGGCAGCTCTCTATGAAACTTCTTACTTCTGCATCTTTAACCTTGGAGAGAGCAACTGGTTTTGCACCCTGCAATTGTACCTATAGCATCATTCATATACAACAAAAAGGAAGTATCTGGGTATTTCCTAGGGAACTCTTGAAGTAGACAAGTACTATCTTAGTCACACGTCACTTACTTCAGAAATCTTTTTGTATATCTGAACAAAGCCCTGACATTCACTGTAAGGGCACTCACCAGTCACCATTTCAAGCATACACATGCCAAAAGAGTATATATCCACCAATTCATTGTAGTTTTCGCCAAAGAGCCCTGGTGCCATGAATTCTAGGGTGCCTGTGTTTCATGTTAAATGTTACTGATAACAATATTCAGCTCACCACAGATCACGTTTGCTCCAGAAATATGTGGCAGCATGGCCTGTAGAAAACCGTACCTTGTATACTCTGTGTTTTCCTCTGCTGCATGACCATTGCCAAACCGAAGTCCCCAATTTTAACTTTCCCATGGTTCCCATTGATGAAAATGTTGTCACACTTCAAGTCCCTGTGTATGATTGGTGGCTTCTGGCTGTGCAGATAGGCTAGCCCTGTCAGTATCTGTTTGGCCCATCGCCTCATTGCCGTCATATCAACTTTCTTGTGCTTAGTACGGTACCTAACCACAACATAACATAGATCATTAAAGAGAATGGTGAAGCTAGCTACTTCTGTACAGCTGTTTCCCTTCTGAGTGGAAGGCCAAAAGAACCAGCTTTGTATTTCTTTTAGTTACCTGAAAAGTGAAAACTAAAAACTACCAAGAAATTATTCAGATTTAAAATTTGAAAAAGAAATAGTTATTCAGGTTTTATTTGCAATTGGTAAATAACTGAACATTCACCATGTCACAAAAGAAGGTACTAGGCACAAAGAATAAAGTCAATCAAACTCCATCAGTGGCAGCACATACATGGAGGGCTTATGTTATATTAATTACATACTCTCTCAAGTTGCCGGACGTGAACAGCTCAGTGATGAGATTGACGGTCCTTTTCTTGTTGTCGACCCACGAGGCGTAGAGCTTGAGGATGTGCTTGTGCTGGAGCGACCGCAGCAGCTGGATCTCCGTCTTGAGCCGCTGCAGCTCCTTGGGGGATCCCATGGTCCGACCGTTTATCTCCACTTTAGCCCATGCCACCTCGATGCCTTCCACCATGTCGAAGCCTTTGTAGCTGCCACCAAATCGATCACGTGAATCAACAAACACAAGCAAGAATTCCCACTTTTCTTCAATTTTTTTAAACAAAAATAAGCTGGCATTCAAGGCTGAATCTTTGTGATTTATCGAATATCCAGTGTGAATTTCAGGAAACTAGTTACTGTCATTTAATTTGCTACTGAATTACTGCATAAACAGCTGAGGAGAGGGAAGGGAGGTACACTGTCTTGAAGGCCCCTGATCCCAAGACCTCCTTGTACTGCAATGCACGCACGAAACCGCAGAGATCAGGCAGAAAGATCTATTTTTCAGACGAATTCGCAGCAGCGCAGGATGCAATCAAGATTCGAAATTCAGGAACTGAAAGCCCCCCGCGCTAAAAGGCGATGAACCAACCCGGCAACCCGACGAGACTAAACAACATGTCGACATTAGCAGGAGACGCGAAGAGACGGCGGATGGACGGCACAGCACGTACCCGGAAGTAGCGGCCGGTGGGGTCGACCTCGTCGACGTCGGGGTCGTCCACCTCGTCGTCAGGCGGCTCCGCCTGCTCGCCGCCGGCCAAATCCGGATCCGGAGCCATCGCGCCGGCGCGCTCCTCCGCCCGCGAGATCAGGAGTCGAGCCGGCGATGGATCGACAAGCAGCGCGAGAGACAGCGGGCGAGCGCGACGAGTCTGAACTCTGAACTACTCTTGTGAACTCGAAACAGCTGTTCCAAGTTCCACGGCGACCGCGCCGCGGGTGTTTAGGAGCGGGGTCACGTGAGGCTGCAGGTGGGCCCCTGCCACCTGGTGGGACTTGATCATGGACGTGATAAGCATCCACGTGGCAGATCAGATATACTACTCAGATAAGGGTTTCGACTTTCCGTAAAATTTTCGAAGGGAAACAAGTTTCAAATGAGGATTTACCAAAACGTTTTAGATAAATGAACGAAATTTCAGATAAGGATCTCCTTAAATATTCAGATATAGGTTATGCGATGATCGTGTGCATAATTAAGAGCAAAGGATTCACGGGAACGATTTTGTTGAATTTCCCGTGTTATTTTGTCGCCCCACTTCATGTTTATTTGGTCAAGGATATACTTGCTGGGCAAGGGGGTCGACAATCTCTTGTGAGGAGCGAATCTAGCTGAGAATACAAGATTATTAGCATCAGTTTCATTGCATGATATTAATTTTCTTGAATTACAGTATTATTTTAGTAAAAGATTTACAAGTTGCTGGCAGCCAAAATATTATCAAAGATTAAATTTATTTGAATTGGACAAAATTTGCAAAGATCCTGGAAAAATTAGCCCAGGCTGATTTGGACAACGGTTGGACGACTGGTCCAGACTGGTTTCATCAGATAAGCAAACCGGCCAGATCAGTGTTTGCAAAGATGCCACGAAAGCCCAATAAAAAAAGGGCCCAGGGTACACTAGTAAATCACATTGCGTACTCCCGTGCGTTGCAATACGTATAGGAACCGGACTTCTGTCATCACTAGATGCGAGTTGTCATGAGTACGAGTCACGTACGAGATAGTAGGGCACAATCTAATACATATTAGAATCGGACACCATATTTATCATCCCTAGACGGGAGTTGTCCTCACTCGTATGAGTCGTAGGGCACGATCCATCGAACTACATATTTATGATCGCTAGATGTGAGTTGTCCTAATTCGTATGAGCATGGGTCATGAGTCCGAGACACCTACGAAATTCTTTACTAAAAGGAAAAATACTATTAGTATTTATGTACACCATACAACTTCGTTACAACCGGCACTTTCTTTTTCGTGGGCCACTCATAGTATTTTTGGTAGGCCACTTGTTTTTCATGGGCCAGCCTACTTGTATCGTCAATTTCATTCGTGGGCCACTCATTTGTGGACAACCCAATCATAGGCCCAGCCATCCAAGATTCACTGGTTTGTTTTATTATATATCTCTCATCTCTCGCAACTAAAAAGCCTAAAACACCAGCATCCTACGACAAAAATCATCGCCTCACCTCGTCGGACTGACCCCTGCGATCCCCGCCCGCTCGTCCGGTTTCACCGCGCTTTCCCCTTGCGACCCCGCGACGCAATCACGAGAGAGCACGCGCCGCCAGGTGGGACCACCCTTCCCGCGATCGCCCACATTGATCCGCCGCAGCACGTTGATCTCAGCGCAATCCCGTGATCGCCCAGTAGGAAACAACGCCGCGCAGCACGTTGATCGTGGCACCTGCCCCCGGTCTCGCACTCCCGCCCAGCCGCCCCCAACACAAAAGGAAATAGAGAATTGGCCTCCCCCTCGCATCGGCCGCCGCCGTCGCACCCTTCCTCGCACACCGGCTGTGCTTCGTATAGCGCGTCGCCTGCCATCATCGCCTTGGCTGTCTTGCTGTCTTGCTGTGCCCTCAAGAGATCGCAGCGCCTGCTCCCTTCCTCATGCGATCCATGGTTGCCCGCTGACGAGCCCAGTTGCCAGCCAGGTCGCAACTGCCGCTGACGAACCCAGCCGGTTGCGTCGGGCCCCTGCTACCTTCAGCGGGTGCGCGCCGCGGTGGCCGCCGACCGCGCGTGGTGCAGCTGCGCGTCCACCCCACCCAGGAGGCGAAGCCCCGCCGCCAGGACGTCATCGGCTATCTCATGCGTCTCATCGGATCCTCCCTCGGCTGCTAGGTGCGTGCGTACCCGCCGCTCCGATCCCTCTCGCCACCCCCTACCCTACCCTACGCTGTTTATTTTCTCTCGTGCGCCAGCGCTAGCTCCCCCTCTGTCTCCCATCGCTTTACCTGGCAGCCGCGCGCTGCCTCGTCATCTTCAGCGTCTGGAGGGAAAGACGGGAAGGGGTTTAACTTTCCGTTTCGTGTCGTGCGGCGGCGCTGCTTGCTGCTCCCATCACCATTGTCGGTATTTTTGTGCCTGTTAGTTAATACAGCAGACGTTCCTAAGTCTCCGTCGCATGAGCGTTTCGCGTTTTTCTACAAGTCTCCCTCGTATTAGCTTCTTTCCCGGTTTTCTCGGTAGCGCAGGCTAGCGACGCCTCATTTCATCGACGGAGTCTTTACTACGCCGCCCGCTCCGTTAGCTTTTCGCTAAATCTATTTATCACCCGAGTGATTCCTGAGGTCGTCTCACTCGATTTAGGCCTTATTTAATTTCTTCTTCTAAAGCTTATTTTCTATCACATCGAATATTTGGATATATCTATAGAGTATTAAATATAGACTAAAAATAATTAATTGCACGAATTACGATTAATTTACGAGACGAATTTTTAAGCCTAATTAGTCCATGATTTAACAATATGATGCTACAATAAACATATACTAATAACGGATTAATTAGATTTAATAAAATCGTCTCGCAGATTACCGAAGACTTTCATAATTTATTTATTATTACTATCAAACACTCTTATACGACATTTCAATATAACACCCGATGTAATATTCCTAAACTTTACTGTCCGCCGTCCCTTATTATCTACTGTCCGATCTCTCTAGTACGTTTCGATTTGCGTTCTCCTGCGCCGGGGCCGTAGCTGGCTAGTACCCGCGCGGTAGGATGCAGGCTCAGCAGCACAGTCACAGCACCCCGGTCACACTGCCCACCTCGACCCCTGTGCCTGTTGCCTAGTACTACTCTCTCCGTCCACTGTATAAGGCGTAACCACGTCAGATCAAACAACACATTTAATTTTTTTTATCAACACTAGTACTACTACGAGGTTGATGCATGGGCCTTAAAAAATGCACGTCTTATATTAGGAGACATGAATAAAAAGTAGTTACGCCTTATATATTAGGACGGAGGGAGTAGTACGTATTCCCTCCATACTGATAAAGAAAGTCGTTTAGGACAGCATTTAGCATACCAAGGAATGGTTAATTAGAGTGTATTTTTATTTTCTGTTTGCCCTTATTAAATAGGGCTAAGGGTATTTCGCATACAACAATCGTTGGCAGATGAATTGGTTAGTGCGCCGTGGCCTAAGACTGGAGTAGCAAGGTTTGAGCCCTGTTTGGCCCAATTTTTGCCTGCCTGATGCGTGATTTTGCATGTGCATGGCACTGTGCAGTTGGGCGCTCCGGTTTTTGCCGTTCGTGATTTTGCCTCTTTTTTTTTGGCGACCATTCGTGATTTTGCTTGATGCGTGATTTCTGCTCTGAACTTTACCGATGTGTTCTAGTGCTCTGTCTTGGCATCTTTCTTTTCATCTACTACTTCACGGTCGTCACCACACCAGCACGCCAGCAGAGCCAGCATACGGGTAGCGCTTGCGGCGGCGGCGGCACCAGCCATGGGAGATGAAATATCTCCGTGGACTCCATAGCGCGAGCGAGCGAAGAAGGCAAGGAAGCAGAAAGGGGTGACGAGCGATCGAGCGACGCACTGAGTCACTGACTGCAGCCACGGCGCCGCGATTAACGAAGCGAGGAGAGCGTCACGATTAATGAAGCACAGGGAACAAGGAGCCGAGGGCAAACGCGTCCAAAAGAGTGTTAACAGAGCCAAAACGACTTGATTTGTGCAAATCATCTAAACCCCTAAAACAACTTCATTTCCCAGTACGGAGGGAGTATAGTAGAATAGGCAGGCTGAGCAGCACAGAACCAGCCACATCTGCCCACCTCGGCCTTTGTGCCAGTTGAATTAGTACCCACTAGGCCCTACCATGGATGTGTATACAATGGCGGAGCTTGACGGTGAAACAAGAGGGGATAATTTCTTACTTAATATTCATACTTGTTATTAATTTTAATCACCAATTTAATAGCTACTTAATGAAATTTTCAATCAGCAAGGAGGAGCCATGGCCGTCTTTGGCCTGCATGTAGCTCCGCTAATGTGTGTATATGTATACACAGATTTGTTTCTTTAATAGGTAAATATTACATCTTATTAGACTATATTTTATTATTTCTGTTTTGGTGTAAACTCTGTGTTTGATTGGTGTAAATTGATTATTGGTACATGAGAATGGTCAGGATTATTTGAAAAGTTATCTGATTTTTTTGGCTTATTTTATTTTATTTTCTGTATATTTTATTTGGTTCTCCTTTGAAATTTTTTAATTTGACTTCCATAGAAATAATCTGGCTATTTTTTGGTTTTTTATTTTTTGTATGTTTTATTTGGTTCTTCTTTGATATTTTCTAATTTGGCTTACATAGAAATAATCTGACTATTTTTTTGTTATTTGGATAGGTTTTTTTTGGTCTATTTGGTCTAGATCCAAGGGTCATGAAAATCAGGTGTTGCATGGACAAGAATCACTCGATTTTTATTTGTTGCCAATCGGGTAAGGGTGCGGCGTCAACACTCGAGTGTGACAGCCGTCAAAATCGCACGACTGATGGGTAGACGGACCCTTTTAAACCTATCCAACGTTTCCTCCGTTTGGCCATCTACTGCCTCTTCCGTGACCGTGACACCACGCCAGTGTCGAGCCTCAGCGCCATCGTGGCCTCTTGAGCCAATGGATGGCCAGTTCGGCACCGTCGACGAGAAGATCGTTCTTGGCATGAACTGGACGCCCGTGCCAGAGAAGCTTGTTCGTGGGGTGAACTAGGCGCCGGATTCATGCGACGAAGAA